TGAATCAATCGAGTCGTTTTGCTTTTAGTCTTATCGTGAACACACTACCGTGTAAACTATAAATCTTAAGATAAACCAAATTGAGCCACTACGTAAACTTAAAAGAATCACCACTCGAACACCCCGCCTAACTGTCGCAATTCGCAAGGATTGCACGTTAACAATACGTATGTTTTTACCTTGTTGCCGAAGCGAATCTACACGAAGGGAAGTTTGAGCTTCGACCAGAAAAAAATATCACAGGACCCAATAGACATGAATCAGTTGATTTCGCAATAGACTTACTCCAAACCACAAAAATTGTTGGCGTGATAGAAGTAAAGGACGAAGATATTTTTAAGGGTATTGCCCAGAATGCTGTACAACTTGAATTTGCTTTATCGAACTGTAAATGTAAAGCAAGTGAGATGGAAGAAGGAGATGTATTTACAGGAAAGACTTTTGGAATTATTACAGATGCGAAAGAGTGGTATTTTATGGAATGTTCGTATATCGAGGAGAAGCCTTCGTTCAAGCTATCAGAACCAATAACTGTTGTGTACAAAGATGAAGATTTGCAAAATAAGGTCGAAAAAGTCCTCAGACATATTGCATGGTTATTAGAGGAGGCACAGAAGCCATATTCTGATTCTCAAAGTGGAGAAAGGGTAATAAAAAAGCATAGATCATCGAGCAATCTTACTGGAAAGTCAGATAAATAGATTTTAGCATGGAAAAATAGGGGTGGGCTTATAGTCTATAATCATGTAGACGTTATGTATCACAGGCTATGTCCTGAATATTTGTATTTATTTTTTGCATATATTAATAAAAAATTTTTCTTGGCAAGAACCCGTAAACAAGTTAACAGGTTTTGGCATAACCTACATATTTTTATTTTGAAATCTTATGTACAGTGTATTAGTTATATAATAGACATGTCATCTGAGCTTGAATTATTGAAACAGCGTATCACTGAACTTGAAGCTAAGAATGACAAACTTGAGGCTGAGAATGTAGAGCTTAGGAAAGAGAATACTGAGATCCGCGATCTTAGAATCAAGCTCTCAGTGTCTGATGCTGAAATAGTTGAACTTAAGCATAGGAATGCAGAGACTCTAAAATCGAATGCAAAATATAATGAGAGGCGTGATGCTGAAAATGCCAAACTCAAGGCCAGAATCGAGGAAATGGAATCTGAGTTTGGAGATAGAATCACGAAAGTGGAACAGAAGCAAACTCTGCAAAGCGCCTTAACAGCAAATGATAATTCCTTTAACAACAGTTCACCTAGCTTCAATTCAGTTGCAGTACCAGAGGCGATAACGGTACTTACCAACTCTGCGAAATACCTTAACGGTAAACTGTTAGAAAAAAAAGATATGGATAGTTTCTTGCTTGAGGCTCATAAGAAAATCGTTAGTAGTGAAATAAAGCAACGCAATAAGGAGAAGAAATTTTTACGTAAATTGGCTAACCAGGACAGCATCTTCGATACTGCTTATATATCAGAAACTGTGGTGGTTGCTCCTAAATTGGTCATTGCAGATACCCCTCAGGAAGAAATTCCCACGGTAGATTCAAAAGTGATGCACGATATAAAAGCAGTTAACAGGTATCCTGAAAATTCATATGAGGATGCGCATCGGATATGTTTAGAAATTTTGGAAGAGTTCGAAAAAACCGTTCCCTCAGGGAACGATCAGAGTCATGTGATTTCAGTTAAACCAGATCTCGAAGTATCCATGAAGCAAGATGATGAGCAGGAATCGCTAGATAAAAATCAAATCATAGAATAGGGTCTAATACAAGAGCTGTGTGATACCTTTGACACCTGTTCACCCATATCCAGTGATGACAATATTAGCTCTACCAATACTAATTCCTCTTGCAATAGATCAGAGAATATGATTTCGAGTTCTGCCCAACACTTGTCCTATCTATTCAATACAGCAATAAAGTCTGGTCAGCAGGAAATTTTAGACTGGTATAATTATTCACTTGAATTCGAGAGCAGGGTAGATGCTCTTACTGCTGATGGTAGAATCAAAGATAAAACGGCAAGATCAAAGATTTACAAGGAAATGAAACTATTTCTTCCTGCTAAAATCACACAAGATAACTTGCGCAAGAAAACTCTTAGGGCTAGAAAACACCTCACGTTATTTGGAAAAAATGGAGTTGGGATAGACAAAATCAAGTTGGTCTCATATAGCGTAACTGAGATTTTGAAACTAACTAATGCACAAATCCAAAATGTCATAGATCAAGTAAAAAAATATATTAGTGATCATTGGTATCATGTGACTTTGAAAACCGTTCCCTCAGGAAACGATCAGATTAAGGATGAGATGAGTACATTGGCAAGTGTATCATCTGCATCCCAATCTAAGCCCGATCATTCCTATTTTCACAACAAGATATTGGATCAATATCCTAATCTATATAGAGAATGTAGTATTGAAAATTTCGACTATTATGGGATTACTGATGAGACAACATGCGGGGACTACATCTGCCCATTATGCAAATTAGGTCATGATGATGAAGAAATAAAAGGTACGTATAATACCGGATCTTACTTTATTAAATGTGAACAGCGTGAAATTGAGATAGTTGCATAGTCTAATCCCTCTGGGATCGTCTGGGAATTTTAATCTTTTTTTTCGAATGAATAGGTCTATATGAGAAAAGGGATTTAAATTGTTTGTAGTCATATAAAAAGGAAAATGACTGAGTTTGATAAAATACTAACCCCCGAATATCTAGACTGGCATGCCAAATTAAGTGGATTACCAAGCGTTTTGACGGATAAGATTCGTTCCAAATTATACAAAAGATATAAAAAACAAACTGGAAATGAGCCATGGCAATTATCGGAAGCCCGCATTCTCAGAAATTCGAAGCCAGAAAACAAAGTATCATATTTATCTTTTCCTGAGCCATGTGAAGAAAAAGGACCCATCACTTATGAAGCCAAACCCGATCCAGAATTAATTATCAAGTCCGTCTTAGAGCACTTCCCATACTTGAAATTCCGAAATAGTTTTAGAGGTATTGATAATTATAATTTTGCATTACCTCAGCCGTGGAACTCGCCATGCCCTATTTGTGCTGGAAAACATGGGAATTATGGATTACATGGCGAATGGTATGGAACAGAATATTGTCTTACTTGCTTTACTTCAGGCAATAAATTCAAATTCGCGATCGTAGCATAGAAACTCCATCATGTGAGACCGATCACCTGAAATGTGCAGTATAATATTCTTCCGAAGTTTTGCAAATACAAAAATAGGGCACCGTACCGCAATATGAAAAAAGTGTTGGTGAAAAAAAATTCGTACGAAACATTGCGCAATTAAGGTGGGAGTACTCCGGTTGTGACTATGCATTTCAATGAAGCGACTTAGGATTACAAGCTAATAGTATTTTCGTTCCAGGATTTTTTGAGGATCACAAAGGCACAAATGAAACGGATTATGGAATTAATGATGGGATATGGTATTAGGATATTCCTTGTCATATATCACAGATTACGCTCTCGATTCTTGTAATTTATTTTTGTATAATTTTCTGATTAATTATAAAGTTTCTCTAATTATGTGCATCGGAAAAATTTTCGTGTAACTCCAAAAAATTTTCGGTAACATGACTTTCGGCCGTGTCACGTTATCAGAAATTTATTAATGTACAAAAAATTATCATCAAACTATCGAACTACTGTATTATTGAAATGAAGCTAAATGAAAACGTATGTAAAAAACTTAGTGTACCAGCATACTGGAATTCTATTTCAAAACCAACCCTATTCACATACTTAGAGCATTTGGCACAAACAATAAAAGATTCACTTCAGAAGGACAAAATTCAATCTCAATACGTCTCGGAACTTACTATAATTAAACGGAGTTATAAGAAATGGATGAACAATACAAAACAGTCGTAGAAGCTTTGGGAAATTTTGCGGTAAGTCAGCTTTTTGTGGGTTATAGTAGGGTTAGGGCTACTATTGTAGTGTAGACATTCGCTTTGTTGCCTAATAGCTACGGCCTGCGGGATCTCAGCATGCGAAAGTTGTAACGTGTTATCAACTAGTATACTGGCTACGGCTATGTATATGAAAGGCTACGGCTCCGTTGAGTAATGCAATGTTACTCTACTGGCTAGTATGCTGGCTACGGCCATGTGTACGAAAGGCTACGGCTCCGCTATAGATACATTAGGATAGTTTAGAAATTTGATTACACTAATAAAATAGATGATTGCAAAATTACTAATTGTATTTTTTCATAATCAAGAATGAGAAGGTATCGGAGGAAGTTAAAGATTTTTGGGAAGACAAAAAGTTGGATCAAAAACTCAATACATTAGATAAAAAACGAAAAATAGTCGAGGTAACGCGTGGTTAAACTTTCAGGATCATAGATTTTGAAACAAATAATGAATTTTAATAAATTTTCAGGCTGAAGGTATTGTGAATTTTTTGCAAACGGGGAACGAACGTTTAAATGATACTTCGAAGATGGTTCATAAGTCCCAGTTAAATTTTTTGGAAAGGAACGAAGCAAAAAGATCCAGAATTGATGAAGAAAAAGAAGCGGAGGATGCTAATAAGGTAAAAAAGTCCCCCTTTTAGGGATGTCCGGAAACAGCATAAATAGTATTCCGCTTTCGCGCACTAATTTATGATTTATTCGTATATCACCTAGAATGAATCAGTTGCGAATAACAAATATAATTTAAGAGAAAGAGGAAATATTAATTACAATGAAGAAGGTTTGTCAAAGAAGCAATGTGGATACACTACACCTTCCCCAGGCAGTCCAACATTACATCCATTGCCAATGGATAACTCGTTTAGTGAGAAAGAGAATGAAGACGAAAGTGAGGACGAGGATGATGTCATAATAATTAATGATGTAGATGAACTTTGCTTTAAGGATGGGGATCCAGAAAATGATCTTAAGATAGGTGATACTAATGTTTCTCAGTTATTCCGGAAATACCAAAATGAATCAGTAAAGATCGCAAAGACTGAAGGTCTATTTGTTGAATCAAATGTACACGAAATATTGTCACTGTCTTCGATTTTTCTGCTCGCCCCAGGTTCTCATTCAAATACGATGATCAATATATTTGGTTCTCCTTTACTCATGAAATTCACCAACAAATCGCTCCAGCACAACAAATAGAACTAAGTTCAGAGTGTGAGACAAAATTTAGAAAAGCGATTAAGCAAGCGACTAAGGAGTCACGTCAAAAAGCCATAAAATTGTTATTAACGGAACTTTCAAATGATGAAACTTTTGATGAAAACTTGGGTTCTGTGATATTGAAAGGTCTGGAAATGTTGCCTAGTGATAAGCTTAGAAATGAACCTAGCGAGATCACACTTATCACAAATTATTTGGATTATATAATGAAAGGTGCATTTCATGATGCTGACAAACATATTGTCCAGTGGCCAAACACAGCTTTGAACGAGAGTAAGGCAAGAAAGTTCAGGGGACGAACCAAGCAACCCGATTTCGTTGTTTCAATTTCAAACAGTCGCTAATATTTTCATAGGGGAGGTTAGTCCTCCATCACAAAAGACAAATGTATATAAAAATTGTTGTGACTTAATCCGACTTGGTGTCTTTATGAAGGACTGTATGGACTTCGCAATAGAGAAAGGTGCCGGTATTAATGTAATCGGCTTTCAATGTGTCGGTAAGCAAAATAATATAAAGTGTTTTTTCACACATGAAATTCATTTAACCTTTTTGGCACTTCATTTATAGGTCATACAATCGATTTTTATATGATCGATCTTATTGAAGGAATTTATGTCATGGTCCATATTGGCCAAGTTTCAGTTCCGGCATCGTTAAAAGAAATGTTATTCTTCGTTGATCAAATTGAAATACTTTTGGACATACGAGAAATTTTCAAAAAATCCTTTAATATTTTGTACGATAAGCTCTGCAATCCAAATTTACCGTCAGTAAAAACAATGTTCAAACGCGATACCCTTAGTACACCCCAATTCAATAATCTTGTGAACAGGACACGTGATTGTCACAGAATTTGTCCATTTTACTATGGACGCTTCTAGTATATTTACCAAGCAATTTGCAAAAAAAAAATATTGTATTATTTAGCTCGTGTAATCAAAAAAAATTTTATTAGTTTGCTCACATAGTCTTGTATATTTTGTGTGCGGATGTGATGTGAAGACTCGAATAATGTGATTATTAATATGCATATGCTTTATTCCCTGTAATATTTGCAGGGCGTTTTTACATCGGATCAATAAAAAAGGTTATATCAATTGATTTCATCGTTTGCTATTATACAGACATATATGTGTACTATGAGATTTTTTTTCTTAACAAAAGTGATCGGTGTTTCATTTCAGAATGCGCATGTGACTGAATCTTTTGAGGTAAGCGCCTCAATCGCACCTATTTCTTTAATAATAAAGTGGCCCATCTATATTTTTCATGTGAGAATGTGCACCGGTTAATAAAACTTTTTCTTGATGAAATTTCAGCCGGGGGCCCCTGCCAAAAACATGTGACTTTTTTTTGGCAAAGGTTATTTCACGCTGTCACGTGAAATTTCTTTTAATATTTCTATGCTTTGCGCAGTTATTAATACATCACAGTCGTTATTTTTAGAGGATCTATTAATAACCCCGGCCAAGAGCAATATATTTGTGTTGCTATAGTGATGAACTTTCCCAGCGCCAAGCCGAAAGAAGTTCTGGTATGTTCTATCTCACTCATTACGCAGTTCTGAATTACTAATAAAAAAACCATATCTCTGATTTACATTTTGCGGATCATAAGTCAGGGCGTCGTTAAAAAGAAAATCAAAAATGGAAATAGAGCGATTAGAATCTATGATTTACGGATTCTTGGATAAATGGTAAGTCTTTATTATCCTAGTTTTGTTAGCGCATTCAAATTACGTGTATGGGTAATAACACATTAATCCGTTTTTGAATAGGAATTAGCAATACGTAACCCAGCATGGGCGATTTATCATCTACTGTTTTTACAGATCTCGATCCATGATAGGTTCTTTATTCCGATTTTTTTGCAATAGGGGTATATCAGCCAATCTAGATAATAAACGGTAGATATGCCATTACTCCATTAGTATAAGTTTACAACATATCAGTTTAGCATGTTCATCGGATTTTACTTTTAGCGCAATTTTTTCACCTGAAAAGAAGGGGTCATATTAAATAAGCAGTATATTTTATTAGATAAGCTGTGCATATTTGCAAACCGTGGGGTATAAGGAGTGTAAAATTTACGCCAATGCTCCCGATAATTTTATTCCTAGAATGGCAAAAATATTCATGTGGATCTGTCTGATAATTTTTTATAAATACCCTGCTTATTTCCCTCACTTTTTGATCTACATCATATGTTAATAATGCCAATTTTTGTATCGAACTGCGTCACAAATGAAGAGAAGCCCGCCTTTTTTATTTTCGAAATAACAAAAAAAAATCATTTCGACCTTTAGCTGGAAGGTCCCTTTGGGATCCCACTCTTTGGTCGACATACTATTTTCATATAGACAGTTTATTGAAGCGAACAGTGTCTCATTAAATATATTCTATTTCTCTTTCTTTAGACATAAATGAATTAAGTGAATAGGAATGGGAGTGGACTTTAGTCAAAGGCACTTCACATAATGTAGATACTGTACTTTATATCAAAGAAACCTTTGTAGCGATTTATTAGTGAAATTTTATTAATAAAAAACTTTTCTCTTGCGTAAGGCCTCACGGCCAAGCATTTACAAAAAATATTGTTATTATTCATTGTTTGAAACATGTTGTGGGGATATGGGGATACGGGAATGCACTAACTTTTTTCGTCTTTAGGTACAAGCGCCACTCTGGATCTTAACATTTCTTTTTTCAGAAATAGGGGTATAGACATAATATCATTTTCACAATTATTCCAGGCCTGTATTTCGACACAGTTCTCTTTTCTAATTATACTAGCATTAATGGGTGATTCTTTTAGGATCCTTGCCATAAAACTGACTATAAAACGTATAAAAGGGATGTGGATTCACCTTTGGTTTCACTAGTGATAGATCATACTAATAAATCATAAAAAATTACGCAAAACTACCTGTGATCTAACATACCTGAACATATTTTTTTTTCTACTTCACTCTGAAAATATGTCTGCACTCGTCTTGCAAAACAACGCCTTGTGGTATATCTTTGAAGACTTTACAGTTTCTATTCTTCTTAGCGCCTGTTTCTTGATTTATGTCATCAGAAACCAATTCTCCAATCACCCTCCTACACATGATAATAAAATTGCTAATGAGCTTTCTGCACGTATGTCTGAAATTAATAGTACTCTTACCGCAGAAATCGAAAAAAATAAGACATGTGATGGAAGTATTACTGCGGAAATCGAAAGACTCCTTACTGGTGTCTACAAAAAACTTAGCACTGAAATTAATACTAAAATCGCCAATGAACTTTCCGCACGTCTTTCTGAAATTAATTCTACTTTCACTGCGGAGCTCGACAGAATCAATAATGATCTTAATAATAAACTTAACGAAGAAGTTAATGCGGGATTTGGCAAAATTAATACTGAACTTAATAGTAAACTTACCGCAGAAAGTAAGGCACGTAATGATGACTTCACTAGAAAGGTGCAGAAAATTTTGAATGACATAACTACGAAAGTTAATAATATCGAAAAAGCCTGCTGTAATGAATTTAGCAGAATTAATGTTGTTATCAAAAATCTCCAAAACGAAACAAATAAACATTACGCAATAGTTCAAAGATTCAATTTTGACCAACAAAGTGTGTTCAATGAATCTAAAGCTAATTTAACCAATGAATTTAAAACTAATTCGCGAGACTCTTCAACTAATTCACCTCCAAGCTCTTCTTCTGAGAGTTCCAATTTATCTGAAATTTTTGATATTACTGGAGACATTAAAATTCACTTTAAACAACACTTTGATCGACTTATAAAGGCGAGGAATTATACTTTTGATGAGATGTGCTTCTCGGTAGCAATGGATATTCGTAGTCTTGGAGGGAATATTAAAATCTCAACAGTGAAAACTTTTTATAGTGGTGTTGGTCGCAGTACAGTTAGTACTGTTAATCAGATAAACGCATGGGTAAATAGTTTAATAATAATAATGCGGAGTAGTGGGGAAGGAACTGTCATTATATGGGTTGGGGCTCGGCAATTTCCTCCCTTGAAACAACCTGCTACTCTATTGTTTTCTACTTTTATTTTTACTTAGCCGGCCGGCTCCTTTCTCATGTATTACTTTGCAATAAAGAATGTTTTGATTGATTTTTAAATGTGTGCGTTTTGCAAATGTAAATATAAATCTACACATGTTATTCAAGTGATTATTAACTCTCATAATAGTAAACTAAATGATCCTCGATTTATACTTTCATTTGAGAGAAATACATGATAGCGTCGTGTAAACAATCTATAAACTAAATGATTCCCATTTTATACTTTCATTTGAGATAATCTCTAACACTGAACCATGTGCATGTGGAATCGAAAAATGTAAACATAAATCCTAATATGTAAAAATAATGATATTTAACGATAAAGAAAATAGATAATCAATTGTCGTACAGATTTAGTTGTATCATAAACATAAGAATCTAAATTTCCTTTAACATGGTATTATTTCATTATTTCAAAATGATTAAGAATGAGTCACAGCATAGGAAAGTTATTTATATACATAAAAAATACCAGGTAATTAACACATTGTCGATTCAAAATAACAAGCCAGCAAGGTATGTAATTACTTTAAAGGATGAATGTATCAAGATACTTACATACACTTAATATGGATTCTACTTTAGGATAACCTAAATTATCTAAGGAATTGTCACTTTTAAACTACGAAAAAGATATTATATTGACAAACCCAGAAGTTTTAAGAAATGCTAAGCCTTATAATCCTTCATCCGGATCCACTAGGAGAAAGATTCTTGATATAAGTAAGGATGACAAAAAAGAACTTTGTAATCTAATTTTTATTCAGAAACTTTTTAATCATACATTTTTTTTATTATCTGATAGTTGAACCAAAGATAGATACAGGAGAAGGCGGATCCATGCATGCACTTCCAAGTTATGATAAGATTAATAAAGACTCAACTGTTGTTGCTGGTCACAAGATTCCTTCACCACCTAAATGTAAGCCTTAATGAACCTAATGCATAACAAGTAGGGTGTGCGAATTAATCTACAAATAAAGCTTATTTAACTATAGTATAATTTTACATTTTTCCTATAATTCATGTAATTTATTTTTTGCGTGTCATATCACGCTATTATTATAATAAAGCAATTCTTGGGAATATATTTCACATCATGGGGAAGTGTATGCTAATCCTTCAGTCATTTTTATTGATTTGCAAGAGTGATTGATGACGAATGCAGTTTTACAACAAATTATTGGCAAAGCTTACTTCGTAAAAATGTTTACTGTGTCACAAATCATTTTTCTGCGCAGTTATTTTGGAAGATAAATTTAACCTAAACTTATAATGCATGTCCATTAGAAATATAGATAAATTTAACCGGATGCTGATCTAGCTTCTGCTCAATTTTGACGAACTCAGACAAACTTGTCCAGACTCCACCGTCAGAAAAGTAATATTTTTTTACATGTGCATTTTATTCATAATCATTTTTCTGAACTAAAGAAAAATTCCGAAATCTGATTGGCTGATCATCTTATGATTTATAGAAACTCGCCAGTGCCTGAAACTCTCCTAGAACTATCGAAGAACTGGCAAGGAACTAGAGGAGATCTCATGTGATACGATATACAGTATATCATGCCACAAACTGATTTAGCCGAAGATGCTGTGCATATTGTTACAGTCAGTTCTTTAAGATGCTTATGAGTGATAAGCGAAGCAATATTTATGGGTGGTAAGCAGAAGGTTTAATTTGATATTTAGATTTAGAAGAATGTCAGTAAATTAACAGTTTATTTAATAA